GTATGATATGTCATTCTATCTTACCAGAGTCACTCTGGGGTGAAGCACTTAAGATTGCAGCATATATCCTTAATAGAATCTCAATTAAAGCAACTATCAAAACCCCTTATGAGATTTAGACAGGGAAAAAGCCCAATTTAAAGCATATGCATGTTTGGGGGTGTACAGTTGAGACAAGATCTTACAGACCAAATGAAAAGAAACTGGATTAAAAAATAGTTAGTTGTTATTTTATTGGATACTCTGAAAGATCCAGAGGTTACAAGTTTTATGATCCAACAACTAAATCAATTTTTGAGACAAGAAATGTCCGGTTCTTTGAGGATGTCGAGTTTGGGGGGAAAATACAGTAATGGACATTGTATTTAAAGAGAAATATATTAATATTCCTACAAGTGTCATTGATCTTGTTCTGGATCCTATTTTTGAACAAGATCATGACATAACAAATCAAGACAATGTCGAAAAATAAACTGTTATAGAAGTTCAAACTCTCCCTCACCAAGAACCAGTGCCATTAAGAAGATTCATTAGAGAAAGGAGAAGTGCAGTGCCAGATGATTACATTATTTTTCTCCAAGAACATGAGAATGACATTGGATTGATGGAAAATGATCCAATCAACTTCCGTCAAATCATGGAAAGTTTAAATTCTCAAAAGTAGATCGACGCCATGAATGAGGAGATTAAATCCATGAAAGATAATGATGTTTGGGATCTTGTCCCATTGTCAAAAGGTGCGAAACCCATTGGTTGTAAATGAATATTTAAAATCAAGAGAGATTAGAAAGACAATGTGGAAAGATACAAAACTCGTCTTGTCGCCAAGAGATTTACACAAAAAGAAGGTATCGATTATAAAGAAACCTTCTCTCCAGTCTTTTCAAAGGAATTTTTTAGAATTATTATGGTATTAGTGGTATATTTCGATCTTGAGTTACATCAAATGGATGTAAAGACAGCGTTTCTCAATGGTAACTTTGATGAGACGATTTATATGGTGCAAGCAGAAAACTTTGTATCAGGAGATTCAAGGAATGTGGTTTACAAACTTAAAAAATTCATCTATGGGATCAAACAAGCGTCTCGACAATGGTATTTCAAATTTCATCAAGTGATCATCTCATTTGATTTTGAGATGAATTTAATAAATGATTGCATATATCATAAGTTCTGTGGGAGCAAGTATATTTTTCTGGTATTGTATGTTGATGACATTTTACTTGCCAGCAACGATATTAGTCTATTGCATGAAATCAAGAAATTTCTGACTACAAATTTTGAGATTAAAGATCTTGGTGATGCATCTTTTGTGCTAAGTATACAAATACACCGAGATCGATCTCAGGGTATTTTAGAACTATCACAAAAGCGCTATATCGAAAAGGTTCTCAAAAGGTATGACATATAAAATTGTAAAGCAGGTGACACTCCCGTGGTTAAAGGAGACAAATTTAGTCTTGAACAGTGTCCTAAGAATGCTTTTGAGGAAAAAGAGATGCAAAAGATTCCTTATGCGTCAGCAGTAGGGAGTCTAATGCATGTTCAAGTATGTACGAGTCCGAATATTGCGTACATTACTGGAATGTTGGGTAGATATTTGAGTAATTCTGAATTAGATCATTGGAAAGCAACCAAACGGGTCTTACGATATCTACAGAAAATAAAGGTTACATGCTCACGTAATCGGAAGTCAGATGAGTTAGAAATCATTGGGTATACTGATTCCGATTATGCTGGATGCCAAGATATTATGAAATCAACGTCAGGCTATGTTTACTTGTTGGTTGGAGGTGCCATATCCTGAAAGAGTGCTAAACAGTCCATCATAGCATCTTCCACTATGGTTGCAGAGTTTATGCCTTGTTATGAGGCATCCAATCAAGGAATTTGGCTGCGAAATTTTGTCACAGGATTACGTGTAGTGGATAGTATTGAACTACCATTGAAATTATTTTGTGACAATAAATCAGCAGTCTTATATTTCAATAATAACAAGAGCTCGACGAAATCTAAACATATAGATATCAAATTTCTGGCTGTTAAAGAAAGAGTACGGAGTGGACAGTTATCGATAGAGCATATCGGGACAAACTCCATGGTTGCGGATTCGCTTACTAAGAGATTGCCACCCAAAATGTTTCATGAGCATACTGCTCATGTGGGTGTCATGTTGATAAATGATGTACAGTTTTAGTAGGAGTTTGATATTTTTAATGCTCTTATGATACTTTCGGTTATTAATGATTAAGGATATTTTAAATGCTCTTATGATACAGTTTTAGTATAAAATTTGAATTTATTTACACTCTGACCTTGGTATGGTTTGATCTCTTGAAAATTTAAAATGGTCCTGTTGGAAATAGGCATGTTTTGATCACATTACATGAAATTTTCATGCTACACATCTACATCATGATTCATGTCATTCAATTGCATCGATATATGTGACCATTGATGAGTCGAGTTATGAAATTGTGACAAAGGCCGCTTTGATCCTATATTGGTGTGATTGATTGACCGAATTGGCTACAGATACATTTTAGTAATGACAGTAAAGTTGAACTCATACGGTTAATTGCGAAACATAATTATAAGGTTACACATATAGTCCAAGTGAGAGATTGTTGGATTCTTAATCCAACATTGGACTTATATGTGAATAATTATGTATTGCAAACTGTCAATTAAGGTTAAACCCAATTAAAGTGATCAAATATAGTTTGGGTTTAATGTATCTAATAGGATGTGGACATTTAATGTGGAGAGATTTAATGACTCCTATTTCTATGATGGGCTGAAATAGAGCTCCAAAAGATAACAAAATGTTACCTATAAATAAAATTATGGTCCCCAAGTCATACGGATTATTCTAAGTGTTGTATTTTCTAATACCACAAAATATTTCTTCCCTGATATCCCATCGTTAGGAAAAATATCAGAGAAAAACTAAAGGGCACTCTCAAGAATCGACGAATACGTGTTGACCTGGAAGGCCACCCCAAATTCTCTAAGGATTCAAGTATCAAGTTTGTCAATATGGATTCAGGTACGCTTCCACTATTTTCCTGTTAATTTATTTCTTAATAATCGCCATATTGATTTTGGGTTTAATAGATGATGATTTTCACTAAAGGCTAAATTTAGATAACCACCCTAACATACACATTTCAAGGTATTCTTGACAAGATTCCCTAATGTGCAAGTTCTTGGATAGCTTTTGAATTGGAGCACAAATCAGCCTAATCATAGACAAATCTCTATAGTGTTTAATTTGTTCGGGATTGAAATCATATTTAAACCAAGACCTGTTCATTGAATGAATCAAATATAAATGAGCTTTGATTCTGTTGAATTCGAAAATTTTGAATTATTTACGTATAAATTTTAAATTTTATGCTAGTTGAATCAAGCCAGAATCACTAAACACAAAAATTGTATTCATGTTTGATTTAATTAATTGACGAACAAAACCAACGAGCTTTGATCAAGTCGGATTTTAAAAAGGAAAAAAAACATATAAAATAGGTATATGTGACGTTGAAAAAGTTGGAACAAGTCATCCTGTTCTGTGATGCAATTCCTACTCTAGTTTGGCCCCTTCAGGAATATTGGTAAGACTTCAAACAAACTTTGATGTTTTAATAATACATTTTTTTTTTGGGAAAAAAATAAACCAAATGCCGTGTGCATGATTTCTTTCTTTTGATTCATAAATGCTTACTCCACTCGAGATCGTAATACTAGAATAATGGTCCGCTATCATTAGAATAACGTTTTTTTTATAATTTTGGTAAAAAAACAAATAAATCCAACTTTTTTTTATAACTTTGGTAAAAAAACAAATAAATAAAAAGTCAATTAAAAAACTATTGCTAAATATAAAAGGTAAAAGCTAATAAATAACACCAATAAATTTTGGGATGAACATGGACTAAAAGGTATTAGGGCTAAAGAACAAAACTTCTGCCAAACATTATAATTTTCTAAAGAAAAAATATTGCCAGAGAAAGTTAAGCATGTAAAACTTTTGAGTAATATCTATGAAACTTATTCAAGATACTTGTGAAAAAAATTGGTCAAGGTATGGGAACATAAAATAAAAGTCCTTCCTTTTATAAAAAGCTGTATGCTTACAACTTTATAAAAAGTTGTATCCTTCCTTTATAAAAAGTTTGTTACATTCTTTTGCGACGGAGATGCTTACACTTTTGCTTGCCTTACTGCTACTATTGCTCACGTTTTTCTTTTTTCATAGAAGGTTAGTTACACTAAAACAGTTATGATAAGTCTAAATATTTTATCTTCTGTATGGTTTTGTTGAGACTGATGTAATATTTTTCGCTGCATTGCAGACATATGTTTCAATATTAACCAATAAATGTACTATTTCATTAAATTGATTGTGAAGATGTTGATTGGTATGCTTACACTCGGTTCCAGATGTTTGCACTTGCATCTCAAGTATAACTTGTATGATAGAATATAAACTTAACAGTGTTCTTTTTTCTTTTTTTGAATCGAAGATGGCCAATGAAAATCATCACATATTGTGATTTTTTGTGGGAGGTAAGGTTCGAACCTTTGACCTCTCGCACTACCAAGTCTTGGGAGTGACCACTGGACCAAAGGCCCAGTGACATAAACTTAACAGTGTTCAGATATGTGCAAAATTCATGTTTGTTATGGGAAAATGGGAATACAGTACAGGGTTTGTTCTGCAAATGTTTATAGTAGCTCATGGGAAAGTATTAGAATCTGTAGTTGTAGCTATCTGCAAAATTACATAAATATTTTTAATATTTTATTACTTATTAAAAAATATCATTTTATTTATTTTTTAAAAATAAAATAATTACTTTTATTTTTTCGAGTTTCAAAATTGTGAGTTTGACTTAGAGTTTGAGTTTGAAAAAATTAAATTCAAGCTCGACTAAAATTCGATTCGATTCAGCTGATTTAGTTTTCATTTCCGCCATCCCGTTGATTTGTCCTAATGTACAGTGAGAATTTGAAGAATCTAGGCAGTTGATTAATCAGGTAGAAAAATTTAGCATTACTGAAACGTGATGTAGTTGGACAAATTTTGCTTATTCCTCTGATTTTGAGTTGATGCCAACCAACACAAAAGGCATAAGAATCTACTTTTCCAAGGAGCAACGGAGTCATAATACGTGGAATCCACTTACAAAAAGCAGCTTAAAAGTCACGGCATTTTTCTTTTACTTTATAATTATCGCTTGTCGTATTAAGTTGGGGAATCTACGAATACTTCTAGGAGACATGGATAGTGCTCCTGTCCGCTGGTTTTGACAAATTTCTATCAGAAAAAGTGTAAACTCTCAGTCATGGAGGCGGTTCTTCCGGGAGGAGCATCATTTCTTCAGAATACTGGAACGATCTTGAATAAGCTGCAGTTGCTGGTGGACGAGGGTGTTTTCTTCGGGGAGGAGGATCATTTGGACAAGTTGAAGGGGGAATTAGAAGAAGTGAGAAATTATTTTCTGGCTGCAAGGGAATTGGAGATTTCTTTTAAAAGGCTTGTAGATTTTGTTCGTTACTATCGGAGGTGGCTTTTCTCTTCTTTTGAATTAGATCAGGTACCGTCCGGCGTCGACTCAATTGCAGCAGCCTCCATTTTTGGAGATTTTTTGAAGAAATTTAGGCAACAGACCCGATGTCTTGACGATTCTGTTCATCAAGGTTGGCAGGGTTTTTATTCTCTTCTTCTTAAGGATGGATTCCCCTGCACTGTAGCAGATCGAGAAAGTCTAGAGAATTTTAGGCAACAAATCAGAGATTTTTACAAAGGGATGTGGGATTCCATGGGGCTACTCTTTTCGGAATCCAGAACGAGATATTTGCAGCAGCGCTGGGATAATGACTGGACGGGTGGATGGGAAGAGATGTCTTATGCGAAAAGTGAATTCATTGGTCTTTTCATGTCCTTCCAACAGAAGTTTGAGTACATTCTCCGCCTTGGTATACTCTGTGATTCAAGATTTGCAGCAGTCTTGAAACCTGTTCTTATTTACTCAACATTACCGCAAGGGCATCCTATCAAGCGATTTCCATTTGTGAAACATTTCAGTTCGGTTATCAAGCGATTTCCATTTGTGAAACATTTCAGTTCTGACCGGAGGGATCGCCTCGAATATATCGAGCGATTTCCATTTGCGGCTCTATTCGCAGCTCGTCTTTGTTGTTGGTTTTTAAGAGATGGAATTCACTTGAAGGCCTCTGAATCGGTGGAGAAGATCAACCCTGCTGCTGACCAAGCTTCTTTGGCTTATACTGGTGTCTGGAAATCTGAATCGCGGTCACTTACTCTGTCTACCGAGGCAATGACTTGCATTGATTCGATCATAGATTTCTGCAAGGATGATCATGATCTGAAGGAGCTGAAGGTAGAGTTGAGCCTAGTGAAGATATTTTTCCTGTGTGCAAGGAAATTGTGTTATTCCTCAGAGAGAACTGAAATTCTTCAAGATTCTGTTCGTCAAAATTGGCAGCAGTTTTGCTCTTTTCTTGCTCAATTGGAGCATGGATTGCCCCCCAGCGAATTGGCTGGGGCGATCTCCAATTTAAGAAGAATCTTAAAGAGTTATAGGCAAAAATTCAGTAAATTGTATGTTGAGATGCCGGACTTATCATTCAACAGGTACGGCTATGTAGATAGCCTTTCACAATCCAGTTCTGGCTTGAGAGATGAATTCATGGAACTCTTCAATTTTCTCTTAAAAAACCTTGTGGATATTGTCATTTGGGTTGAAGCCTGTGATTCAAGACTTACAAAATTGTTGGAGCCGCTTCAAGAGAAGCTAGCGTTCCTTAAAACATTCATTCTCTTTGCCAGTTTGCAAGGCAAGCCCAAGAGGAAACTTGTGGAGCACTGTGCAGTTGTGGCTTTATCTGCAGCACATCTTTGTTACATTTGTTGGTTTTTCAGATATGACTATCAAGAGCTCAACTGGATGGACTCAGAGATTTCTGAATTAACAGACAAAATCATGCGTGTTGATCACCGAGCCCATCTCACATATATTTGCGTCCTTGAATCTGGAACAACTTCCCCCACTCTGTCTGCCAAGAAGGATGTGATTATAGTGGCTGAATTTGTTGATTCTCTCCTAGGTCATCTTGGGGAGTTACTACTAAATTGTCCTGCCTATTTTGTGGTATCTTTGAAGCATCAATTGCGGATGCTTTTTGAGGGACTGCGATTCTTAAGCAACATTCTCAATAAGGAGAAGTACGATGGGATAGAGGGAAAAATCAAGGATCTTATTGGAGCTGTGGTCAATGACGCTGGGATTGTAATTTTTTCACTTTATCAGAATGACCTTCAAGAAGCTTCAGCTGAGGAAATAGATGTTAAGCTCTTTTGTTTGCTGGGGAGGATAAACACTATCAAGGCAGCTGTTGACGAAAGCTATCCTGTAGTGCCAAGGTTCAACTTCCCTACTACTAATGTGCTGGGGATTATCGATCTTCTCCAAGAAAAGCTGAAGGAACTGGCAACTTGTAATGTTGATCCTATATTTACTTTTGCAAAGGATAGAGTTCATTTCTTAAGGCTATACTTAAAGAATGCCACGGAGCAGCACAGCCAGGATGCAAAGCTCCAACCACAAACAATCCAAGAAGATTTGTCATTCTTGAAATCATTCTTGGAAAATAATTTGGAGCAGCACGTAGATAAGGAAAAGCTTCAACTTCAAACAGTGCAAGATGGTCTTGTATTCTTAAGATCATTCTTGGAAAACAACAGGGATCAAAGCAACCACCCTGAAGAGCTCCAAGCTCTTAGTAGTCATGTTGTGGAAGTGGCATATAAGGCAGTGTTTGTTATTGACTCCTTAATTGTTGGAGATATATCATATTATTCTCTTATGCTATTTGATGATGTCACTGCAGAAATTAAGCTTCTTAAAACTAAGACAGGGGAGATTGACAGCATCGAAGCCCAAAAACCTACCGATGGTTTGAGGGATGTGCCATCACAAGGTAATATCCTGCAATAGTTTAAAAGATGATGATATTAGCTCTCCAGATTTTGTTAATGATCTTTCGTTCTCTTTGTAATTTGTTTTGAAACAGCAGGAAGGAAGTGGAGTGGAGTATTTCACCAGGTGCCATCACAGGGTAGTATCTCAACAATCAATAAAGCTGTGGTAGATCTGAAGGATCAGGAGCAAACAATTATTGGTCAACTTATAGGAGGATCGTTGCAGTTGGACATCATTTCCATTGTGGGAATGCCTGGACTAGGCAAGACGTTTCTGGCAGATAGAGTTTACCGTGACCCGTCAATTACATCTCACTTCCATATTCTTGCATGGTGTTGTATCTCTCAAGTATATTGCAAAAAAGATCTGTTGCTTGGGATCTTGGCATGCATTGAGCCAAAAGCTCAATATTCGGAGTTTGATGATGATGATTTGGCTCACGAGCTTTGCAAACACTTGAGGAAACAGAAGTATCTTATAGTTTTGGATGACATTTGGGACATTGAGGCATGGAATGCTTTGAAAATATCTTTCCCAGATGATACCAACGGAAGCAGAATTCTCTTAACAAGTCGACATCATGGGATTATTGGTGAATCTCACCATCTTCGGCCACTTGATGAAGAAGAAAGCTGGGAGTTACTACACAAGAAGCTGTCAATTACCATAGAAGGTGGCTATCCTGTAGAATTAAGTGTTCTTGGGAGGCAAATAGCAAAAAACTGTAATGGACTGCCTCTATCAATCGTCATCATATCTGGAATTCTTGGGAATCTAGATCAAGATCGTTGGGGAGAGGTAGCAGAAAGGCTAGACTCAAACAGCGAGATTGGTGCCACAGAACATTGCAAGAGCATATTAAAGCTGAGTTACGAGCATCTGCCTGACCATTTGAAGCCATGCGTTCTTTACTTCAGTGCATTTAGAGAAGACCAAGAAATTTCTGTAAAGAGGTTGATGTTGCTGTGGATCGCTGAAGGATTTGTGCGAAAGAAGGAATCAGAGAGGCTTGAAAAATTAGCAGAAGGCTATTTAATAGCTCTAATCAACAGAAGCTTGGTTATGGAGGGGCAACAAAGATCCATTGGCGGGGTCAAGACCTGTCACATGCATGATTTGTTGCATGTCTTTTGTTTGGGAAAAGCTAAAGATCAAAATTTTCTACATTTGATACGAGGATGTGATGGATTTCTTAATTTTGATGAACCACACTACCTGTACCGGTTATCCATTCACTCTCAGCCAAAGCATTTTGTGAAGTCAAAGATATTTTGTCCCCATGTACGCTCTCTATTACATTCTTCTCATGGTATTGGGGGCCATGGAGTATCATACAACTCATCCTTTGTTTGTCACCTGAAACTTCTTCAAGTGTTGGATTTGGAACAAATTAGTCTTGGTTTTACTTTCCTGTGTGAATTAGGGTTGCTCATTCAGTTGAGGTACTTGGCTGTTTCGGGTTGGATCAAATGCATCCCACGCTCGCTGGAAAACCTCTCGAGCTTGGAAACGTTTCTTGTGACAACACATTATTCTGATTTTGTTCTTTCATCGTTGGAAGATATTTTTTGGAAATTGCAGAAATTGAGGCATCTACAAGTACGAGGTGCTTTGATTGATCTTAGGTTGGCAAAGGACAATCCTGAAAGCCCCTCTATGTTATACAATTTACACACGTTTTCCACTCCAAAGCTTTATCTTGGGCAAAGCATGGAAAAGATGATGATGAAGTTTCCAAATATCCGCAGACTGAAATGCTGTCTGCTACAGTCAGAGGAATCTTCTAGTGAGAGCACAAGGATCGTGGCAATGGACTCTCTGAGTCAGCTAGAATCACTAAAGCTGCTACTGGGTAAAGTTACTGCAAATTGTATCAAATTTCATCTCCCCTTGAATCTGAAAAAGTTGACACTGGAGGACTTCTCCTGGAGTATAATTTGCACAATCAGAAAGCTACCCAATCTTGAGGTTCTCAAATTAATCCGACAAGTGGATGGCCAAGAGGAATGGGACATGGGAGACATGGAAGAAGAGGAATTCTTTCCTAAACTCAAGTTTTTGAAATTGGAATCCTTGAAGGTGGTCAGGTGGATGAGCACAGGAGTGCATTTTCCCAGTCTTGAGAGATTAATTTTGGAGGGTTGCGCGGAACTGGAAGAGCTCCCTTCTTGTTTATGGGAAACTTGTACTCTTCAATTGATTGAGGTTCATGGATGTCTATACTCTGCTGGAGATTTAGTTCGGGACATTAAGAAACAGCAGATGGATTATGGAAACATGGATCTGAAAATCCTTATCTTGGAAGAAATTGATGAGTCTTCTTCTTGGTCAGATGGAGATTCAGACGGATGGTTACCAGAAGAAATTGAGGAGTCTTCTTCATGGTCGGAAATTCACACAGATGGTCAGGCTAACGATCATCTGCCATAAGCGTTGTTATCTTCTGTATGGTTCTGTTTACATTGATGTCAGATTTGTCATTGTAACGCATAAATAAGTTGCTATGTATTAATGACAAATTAATGTACTATTTGATTAAATTGATTGTTCAAATATTGAGGATGGATATACTTATGATTTGTTCCAGATCTTTACACTTGCATCTCAAGTATCTGTGGAACTCATATGATGGAATATAAATTTACCTTAGTGAGTTATGTAAAAGACATGTTTCATCTGGAGAATGGGAATGCAGAATCTGATACAATCTTGTATTTGTGCTTATTCAGTTAGTCAAATGTGTTGTGTCATGAGATACAGATTTTTTTTTTAAGTTTTACCGTCCCATCCCATCTCTACACCCTTCTCTCCTTCCATTGCCAAGCTGAGAATTCGAACTTTGAACCTGACAGAGGGAAAACTCTGAGAGTGTTGAGCATTTCTCTCGTCATTGGGCAATACCCTGTGGTTACGGATGTTACTGGTATGATGGTATGTGCTGCTGGGGTATTTTCTGTGCTCTGCTATGCATTTAGCTTGTACCCTAACCGTTCTGCAAATTAACTGCTGGGGTGATGGTGTGTTGAGGGTGTGCCAGGAAAGGTTGTCTAGTGTGGGAGCAAAATCTGATCAGGAATGTCTTGATAGCAAAATCTTGTACTACCTTGTGATGGCACAACCCTCAAATTTCCAGATGTTTACACTTACTTCTCCTTTGATTGTTTTTATAGGTTTCAATTGTAAAATTATAATAAATAATAACTTGATAATATATTAATATTTTATTACTTATTTATTAAAATTTAACTACAATAAAATTATATGATAAATCTTTATTAGCACCGTGGTGGAAGTAGGGCGGAGCAAGGGCTCCCCCGCCCCCTGTTGCCATTCCCAATATATTTCACCCGTTAATGGCCGCTTTGACCTTTGAGTAATTGTGAACATCTTTACCTAAGGCATTAAATTGTGCTTGTCAATCCCAAGATGCGAATAAATAATTCTCAATTAGTAGCCTTCACTTTCCGAGCAACTTTGCAGCAATACAAGAGGGTAATGTTTTATGACAACGATAATAACCTTCTTGTTTTTTGTCTCTTAATTTTAGATTACGTTGATTTCTAGGTTAATGTTAATTAATAAATCGTTTTCTTATTCTACTATTTTCCCCCTTATTCGACATTAAGTTTTAAGTTAGAGACAAAAGATTGCCTTCAAGCTTTTTTCTTGATTTTTAAAGGATAAAATAGCAAAAAAATTCATTGTGATTTGCCGAATGTTCAATTTAATTCTCTCTAATTTGGAACCTACAGTATACCTCTTTGAGGTTTTGATAAATTGAAAATTGGATGGAAAGTATTTAATCTAATGGATGTGCATGAAATATCAATATTGCCCCTACTATACTATACGTGAAATAATTTATGTTCAATTTTCACTTTAGTCAAAACTGCAAGAGCTATAGTGTAGTTTTCTAAACTAGAAAGAATTAAATTGAACATTCGGTAAACCACAGAGAATTCATTTATATAGGGACAATATTGATATTTCACGTACAACTATTAGATTGGATGCTTTCTATCCAATTTTCAATTTAGTTGAAATCGCAAAGAGTTATAGTGTAGATTTTCAAACTAGAGAGAGTTAAATTGAACATTTGGCAAATCACGAGAAGTTTTTTGATATTTTACCGATTTTTAAATTCAACTTCACTTAAAGTTATTCAGAAGAAGAGTTTCGTTTTTTACTTATTATTCAAATATTAAAGAACATGCCTTGGAACTCGGGCTAATTGATATTTTGACAGCAGAACTATGGGCAATACTTAAAGGGTTAGAAATGGCTTGGAACTCGGGGGAGAATGAGTGATTTTGGAAGCTGATTCAAGGGTAGCTTTGGATCTAATACAGGGCGCAGGTTCGGAATCACCATTATCCAACCTGATACTTCTCATCAGGAGTTACACACGTAGGGATTGGGAATGTAGACTACAACATGTTTGGAGAGAAGGGAACAGGTGCGCGGACTGGCTGGCTAAGAGGAGTGTTAACGGTGAACAAGGGATGCAGATTCTAACTGAACTTCAACAGAAACTCCGGGAATTGATTGGAGCAGATATTTTGGGAGTTGCGACCCCGCGTTCTATCCCTGCTTAAGAGGTTCGACCTCTCCCATGTAAACATGATAGGCTGCAATTTATCTATTTATTTTATTATTATTTTCCCCTATTACCTGACTTGATGTGGATTAATTGCTGGATTCTACTCATTTTTCTTAATTTACGTATATTTCAGGGAGTAGAACGAAAATATGATAACAGGTGCCAAATTGACAGGAAAAGAATTCAGATGATAAAGCTTGTCCCAGGGGCACTTTTGGAACAGGAGATGTCACGCCCATTTTGGTAATTTTCGCAAAGGAATGACGGACGGAGGGCTTCTCTTCCTGCTGTGAGCCGCCGCAATAAAGAGAAGAAAAGAGGATCAGATGGGGGCTGGCTTTTATTCTTAGCTTTTCGTCTTTAGCTTAGCAAAGAAAATTGTCGACTTCTCCTTTGAGTTTACCTTTTTGCTTTTGAGACTTACGAATGTCAGGAGCTTAGCCATTTTTGGCTTTGACTTTTCTTCCTTAGATGCTCTTAGTGGTTTCTGTTCCTTTGTGCGTGAGACGAAGTGAAACTGTGAATTGCCTTTCGTAGCTTTTCTATATATTCAACATTCGGACGAGCTGTACTCTCCGGAATTTCAACGGACAATGGCCGCTGTTCCCTTTTCAATTTCCCGTGGGTTTAGGTCATCAATTATGAGCTAATTTTCCAATCCTAGTCAAGGAGCAACGAAGGTTCTGGTTCGCCTAAAAATTGTGAGATCGTTTTAATTCAATCTTTTCCTTTTATTTATTGGTATCCGCATATTTCCTGATTGCTATGTTTATGGGTATTTAATTAATTGATTGTCTTGGATCCGGATAATTAATTGATTTGGTAACCTATTGTCAATTAGGGCATTAAATCCGTAATTGTTTAATTGTCCTGAAATAGTGACAACTGGCACGATTAGATTCGTGCTAGGGGGATACGCGGGCTAATCTAAAATAACCCTGGTAGTGCGTTATTTGGTTAGAATAGGGCTCCTCTAATACGTAAGGCAATTGGGGAATTAAATTCTACGGGCGTACCTAGGATTATTTCTCAATTAGAGCAGTGATTAACGGGCGTACCTTGATCACCGACACAGTAAGGAGGGGTTGACTGCCATCGCTTGTTTGGTAGTTATAACTTATTTATTGGTAAATAATTGGGATTGCCTTTGCTTCGATGATCAATTAGGTGAACCATTGATGAAGTTACTTCTTGGCTAGATCTTTAGTTAATATTACCTTGATTTTGGTGAATTGCCATTTGATTTTTAGTTGCCTACTTTATTTTATTTCTAATTGTCTCCTTGCTTTAATTGAGTTAGGCCTTTAATTATTGTTATTTTAAGTTTAGTGAATTGTGGTTTAATTCCTAATTAGTATTTATTTTTACTTTCTTATTTGAATTTATTTAATTATCGCCGTTCCTACGAAATCACCCCCCTGTGTTACTTTGGATTTCTTAAGAAACAAATATACCTAGTCCCTGTGGATACGACCCTACTTGCCCTGTCTACGAATTCATAATTATTTGTGAAAAGAAATAACCATTCCATTCGGGTATATCGGATCAAGCAAACTCTTCGGGAACAGGGTGAATCAAGTAACCCATTGCACACCTAGAGTCCCTGCTCCAGTACTTGGAATTGGGTTTTGGTCATTTTAACTGGCAATTAGGTTTAATTTTATTATTGCACAGGCTTCGACAACCTGTCAAAACAAAAAAAAAAAAAAAAGAACATGCCTTGAGTCTGGAAATCTTTTAGAAAATCGAAAGCAGTCTGGATATATTTAGTTTGAGGAGAATGATTACAGACATATATACAAATTTACTCTTAACTTAATGTTTACACATTTCAAGGTTTTCTTGACAAGATTCCTTTATTTGCAAATTCTTGAATAGCTTTAGAATTGGAGTACAAATGAGCCTAATCATAGCCATACCAAATCTCTCTAGTGTGTAATATGTTTGTTTATTTTAACAGGATTGAAATCATATTTAAATCTAGACTTATTTATTAAATGAATCAAACATGAATGAGCTTTGATTCAATTGATTTCGAAAAATTTGAATTATTTACATATAAATTTTAAATTTTATGCTAGTTGAATCAAGCCAAGAACGAATCACTAAACACAAAAATTATATTCATGTTTGGATTAATTAATTGGTGAATAAAATAAACGAGTTCTTCTGACAAAGTCGGGCTTTGAAAAAAAAAATCTAAAATAGGTATACGTCAACATTGAAAAAGTTGGGATTTTTATCAGTTTACCCCCTTAAACTATATCTCAACTATCAGTTTAATCCCTAACGTTAACTTTTAGTCACTTAACTCCTTGGACTAACGGTCAAACGAGACGGCATTTTATAATTCACGTAAAAAGACATGTTTAGATCCCACTTAATTATAAATGGACAAATATGCCCATAAAACCCTAAAAAAGAAATTTCATTCTAAAAAATGCCCTTTATGAAGTGGCGGGACAACAAAACAAAAAAAATGGAAGCCATTTTTCTAATTTCTTCTTCATCATTATCAACCCAAACTCTCACTATTCTCCCTCATAGAAATCCAAGAAAGAAACAACGGATCAACTAACAAAATCAAAGAAATCAAGCTTGAATGGAGGCGAAAGACTTGAAGCGAAAATGTGAAAGTGAAGGATAAAACGAAAAGGCCAGTTTCTAGACACCAAAGGGTTAATATTTTAAAGGGATAATTTCAGAAACCTCCCCTAAGGTTTCTGACACTTTCATTGGCACCCCCTGAGGTTCTCAAAATTTCACTGACCTCCCTTGATAGAAAATTGGGCCCCTTTGCTGACATCATGAAGGCCAAAATTACAAATATATCCTATGAAGTTGGGTTTTATTATTGAAGATGGAGTGTATTACTACCGTTTAGTTGGAGAAAAAGGCATCTAAAATGATTAATTAAGCTTAACAACAATAACACAAACTTGATGGCTAATACATGAATTAAAGCTGGATTAGGGAGTAAGGCACCATTTTTGTGCCTGCTGTGAATATATAAATGTTTTTAAGTAAAATTCAAAAAATTTTATAGTAACTTCTTACGAAAAAA